CTTCACATGTTTTTCTAAGTATTTTGTTGCTTTGTATATATCATGCTACCTCATACTATAGTTGGGCTTAAAATTTTTTTCTTATTATTGCAGGGTGATCCGTTGATGGTAAAAGTGAACAAATTAACCTCAACAAAAACACAACTTCCCTACTCCTACTATTCCCTGCCTTACTGTCGTCCAGGGAAAATACTTGACAGTGCAGAGAATCTCGGGGAAGTTCTTCGCGGTGATCGCATTGAAAACTCTCCGTATGTGGTACGATGGAATTCTTGTATAATTCCTTGGTCCTTCTATGTTTGTTATTCTTTAGTTGACAGAAGTTGTTTATCGCAGTTCAAAATGAGAGAACCGCAAATGTGCAGTGTTGTATGTCAGATAACACTTGATAAGAAAACTGCTAGGGCATTCAAGGAAAAAATAGATGACGAGTATCGGGTCAACATGTGAGACATCAATTCAGATGAAGTTCCTTACATACCTACTTATTTTTGTTATACATGTTTGACACGTGATCTGTTTCTGACAGGATTTTGGATAATCTTCCTCTTGTTGTTCCCATACGAAGACCTGATCAGGAAAATTCTATAATGTATCAACATGGTTTCCATGTTGGTCTCAGGGGACAATATGCTGGAGTAAGTGCAGTTCTGTTACTGTCCTTTTTAGTGTCATAGGGAAAAGTGCTATGCGCTTGTGTGGCTTATATTTTTAATCTTTAATACCACACTTGTTTGCAGACCAAAGGAGAGAAACATTTTATCCATAACCACTTAACATTTACTGTTAAGTTTCACAAAGACACACAGACTGATTCAGCCAGGATTGTAGGATTTGAAGTCAAACCATTCAGGTGATATTTTGTGATTCTTCTGTCTCATTTATGAAATTTGTTCAAATTTTGCCCTTCAATGGCATCTAAGCCTGTAAACTAATACCATTATGATTTCAGTGGTAAACATGGAGTATGATGGGTCAGTGGGAATGGAAAGGAACCGTTTGACAACCTGGGATCCCCATGGAAAACGTGC